TGTATATTATATATACATATATATATATATATATATATATATATATATATATATATATATATATATATAATATACATATCACCTATTATATGTAGAATATAAATACATATATACATATATACATATATATATATATATATATATATATATATATATATATATATATATATATTATAGATATATGTAGAATACATAAATATATATATATATATATATATATAATATATATAATATATATATATATATATATATATATATATATATATATATATATATACATATACATATACATATATTCATATGGTAGTAGTAATCATAACAGAAAATGTTTCACCCAATTATTTCCAGTAGTTTATATACTTCAGCGCTGGACATGTCAAGGCATGTACATCTCTTTGGCCGTGTTGGAAACTGTTTTTTCCCGTAAGAAATGCTCGTGTTAAGAAATTATTTTTCTTGTTATGTGCATGTCAAAGACTGTCTCCTCCTGCGCTCTGTGTTTGCAGACCGTAAAAAAATGTTCGCTTTCTGTTATGCATGTCAGAACACTTTTCTGAGGGACAGCACGAGGAACAATGTTCTTCGATTCTTTTGTAATGATGCTGATCAGGTGGTTATTTTACGTAAAAGAAGTACGACGGTCGCGGTGGCATGCACGGCGAAATCGCTCTCGTGCCTTTGCTGCGAAGAAAGCCATAGCGATTAGGATTTTGAATTTAAGATTTTTTCTCCCGCAGGCAATCATTGATCGTCGACAAGGGAAAAATACATTTCTGAAAAGTGAGACAGAAATCTGGTAAAACTGGAGAAGAAAAATCTCAGGAACATTCCCAGAAGCCATGTGAATCTCTCTCGCCCCCCCCCCCCTTCCCCACCTCCCCGCTCCTCCCCCACCTCCACTTTCGTTCTTCGTCTCGGGGGTCGTGGAGTGGCGATGAGGGGGGGTGGGGGAGGGAGTGGGGCCGCGGGATAGCAGGGCAGCGGATAGAACCAAGATATCTCAGACGAACCCCAAGACAACACCAGACCGTCACCGCTCGTCAACAAGAACACATAAAAAGAAAACGAAGAGTAGTACCCGCGCCGGGCGAAATTGTCCCTTATTACCCCCTTCGAGAGATGTCATATTCCGACGTCGAGAAACCCCGGTGCTTTTTTTGCTGTTATTTTTTCACCCTACGTTTGGGTGGGTGTGCGCCGCCGAGGGACCTGGACCATTGTGGTGGATCATGGGGAGGTGTTGGGGTAAATCACTCGTCGGCACTGGGCTAAAAGCACTCGCCTCTACGCCTTTTTTCTCCTGGCGAGAATGGGTAAGAAAAATGTACAGAATACACCTGTTAAGCATCCGGCGAGAGGTGGGAAAAGGAACGGTATAACAGCGTGTATGTTTTCGGGTTTTCCTCTCGTCTCGTGTTCATTGCGTTCGTAGAGATCGTTTTGGAGGCGCAGTTTGCATCTCGTATTCCGTGATACGAGGAGCGCGCCGGAGATGGACGCCCGACTTTCGTAATTAGTAAAGAATAAGCTTTCGCTGCGTGTGCTTGTTCGGCCGAATATTGCAAAGCTGTATTAGAATAAACAGAGCAAACGGGTTTTCATGTCGACAAGATGCCGCGAGGAATTGGGGCGAAGGGGAAGGTCACGAGCTTATGTGCCAGTATGTATGTATTTCTGTATATGCAGACTGTATATGTATATATATATGTGTGTGTGTGCGTGTGTTTGTATATGTATATATGTATATATTTTTATATATACATACACACACATACACACACACACACACACACACACACACACACACACACACACACACACACACACACACACACACACACATATATATATATATATATATATATATATATATATATATATATATATATATGTGTGTGTGTGTGTGTGTGTGTGTGTGTGTGTGTGTTTGTATATATATATATATATATATATATATATATATATATATATATATATATATATATATATATATATATGTATATATATATACATATATATGCATATATATATACATATATATATATATATATACATACATACATACATATATATATATATATATATATATATATATATATATATTATATATATATATATATATATGCCAAAAGAACGCAAGCAAACTCTCACGCTCCCACGCACAAACAAGCACGTTATGTGTTTTATGTGCATGGGTATGTATACTTATACGTATGTCTACAAGTAAATATCTTATATATATCGATAGACATTACTCTGATGGTTTGCACCAATGTGCCTCATTCAATACGCGATTAAATTACCGAGCATTTAAAACTATAAGAGGAAAAAAAATGATCTACATTTATAGCAGCAACGCATTCAGCTGAGTCGTAACACAGTCATTTCAAGGAATTCGCCAAATTATAAGTGAGTTCGAAATCAGAACAAGATCAGCGGAGGCGCCATTTAAACCACGAAAAGGCGTGTGTCCTCAAAAAGAGCATGCAGAATTAACCTCGATGTCTTCGTGTTGGCCAAGGTTTTGCTCGCTCGCACTTGGGAGAGGGAGGGCGGTGGGGAGGAGGAGGGCAGTAGGGAGGAAGGGAGGTGGGAGCACAGGGAAGGGGATGGGAGTGGGGTGGGAAGGTGAGAGTGGGGAGAGGATGGTAAGGTGGAGAGAGGTTGGTGGGTGGGGGGGGGGTGAAGAGGGAGGTGGGAGTGGGAGAGGAAGGAGTGGGGAAGGTGGGGGTAAGGGGAAGAAATCGGGGTGAGGGGTATGAAGGCGGGAGTGGGGAGGAGGAAGGTAGGAGTGGAGGGAAGAAGGTGGGAGTAGGGGGGGGGCGGGGGGAACACGGCCTCCTTCCCGTGGCGAGAGAACCTGATACACTTGAAGAGACTGATTTCGTCGTGATGCGCTTGAGTGTAACACGCTGTAGAGATTCACTATCGTCGTCTAGTAATTCACTTTGCCGTTTTTCTGTTTTTATTGATGCGCGATTCACATCCATGCACAATCTCCTCATTTCAACAAACTGATATTTCAAAGTACAACTCTCAATATGCAAAACCCCTTGTCGTGTCATCAACATCGATTAAACCATACTGTATGAATGAATGAAGATTCAATCATGCATTTCCAACACCTTCCTCCCCAGACACTGGGGAGGAAGGTGGGCGAGGTGCCATGACTGAACCTCGCCCATGGCACTAGCCGGCACAGGCTGTATGATCACTCAACTCGTGGCTGCGTAACTGCAGTTCGATATATCGAGGCAGTGGCACATTTAGCAAAGGTAACGAAGGCCAGTTCAGCGTTATGCAATGATGTGGTGATAAAGCAGAGGTTAACACGGCCACGTATGAGTAATATCGCAGGTTTCGATGTCGGCAATATCGACAAAACATCTATTCTTGAGAGTGAGGCTTTTGTATGAAGATATAAATATTTTTAAAGGCACTAGTATTACAAGAGCAACGTTCGTTTTGGCGGCCGTTTGGAATCCGCTATAACCATGACAATAGCTAAGTACACATACACACACATACTCGCTGTGCTCTTCAATAATAACTCGATGGGCGAATACAACAGCTCATAATCCAAGCCTGCGTGGCCAGGGAAGTTTCTTTGTGGCATTTCATTTGAGGATTTTCATTAGCGCGCCTTGCATCATCTGATTTTGGGTTTTATTGCTCCTGGTTTCCCAGCTGCGAGAAATGTTCGTCGCAGTTAATGATATTCACCGGCTCTAATATAACCCCTTCTCCTTGTGGCCTGTCTCACGGTATGCGTACATGCACACGGAGGAAAGAGAGAGAAAGAGAGAAAAAAAAGAAAAGAAAAAAAAGTGTGTTGTTTTCCCGGGCTAATGATGTGTGAGTGCCAACGTAAATCCCGCTTGGCAATTAGCAAGCTTAAATCTCCACTCGTGCGAACGCCATTAATTTAACACTGTGGGGGTGATCCAACATGATGTTCGCGCGGTGTCGGACTAATCTAAATACTCGATAGTACCTGTGTAACTGTAGGAAATCTTCTCTTAATTATATTCAAATGTCTCATTTTATGATGGCGTTGCATATTCCGTTCGGATAAATTAATGCCATTGTGCAATTCGTAATGACGCATTTTAACGTCTCCGCCAGTGGGAAAGAATTCAGATATTTCGAACATCATGATTTTAATAAAAGAGGCAAGGATTCCAGGCATTAAGGGCTATGTAATACTCTTTTACCGCACATTACGTCAAAATTTTCATTTGATTGATCGCGTATACGACATTACTTGTCGGATGATAGCATGCAATAAAAGTGTGAAGAGGTTTAATATATACTCGAGTCACAGTAACTACGCACAAAATGACAATAAATCACACCCTGGCGCGGGGAGGAGCGCGTGTACCTCCGTGCCTCCAGAACCTACAGCCTGTCATGTTAGCATGATAAAGCCCCTCCAGTCATAACACCTCGACACTCCATAATTCTCCAAAAACCCATGGAGGAGCAGGAGGCGGGCTGGAGGAAAAAACGCTCCACTACATCAAAACCGCCGAGCTGGAAGACACACAGAATACAGGGCGTTCGGACAGGTAGGTGTCCATCGATCACACTTAGGTGATCAGCCTGTCACCACCTCAACAGCCCACGACAATCTTGTACAATTGTTTGACGCCGCATCCTGTCAGGGGGCGGCACTTGCTCGCTTCCTCGCCAGCTTTCGCTCTCCCGCCGAGGTCGCTGTCGTGGCTCACGCCTTCGGGAAATGCTACTCTTGCTGTCTCCGAGTTCTAGGCTTATTAAAACACGTTGCCGCGGGGAAATTATATACGCTATTGCCCTTGTTAACGTTTCTTTTTTTTCAATGTCTAGCAACATTTTGTAATGAGCGAGCTCTAACCACAAAGTTTCAGTTCGACGTTCTTTTCCCTTCTGCTTCCATATCGACCCGTAAATAATGAAAAACTAATCGCCGCGACGCAGCGCCATACAACATCATTTGCGCCATCTGGCTCAGTACTCACTCGTAGCGTCTCCATCCTTGTCGTCCTTCTTGATATCATCGTCTTCCTTGTCTCCGGGTTCTTTCTCGTCGTCCTCGTCATCAGACAACTTAGCGTCGTCGTCGTCTGTTTTGTTCCTGGGTTCCCAAGTCATCTTGTTCTCTTTCTTTAAGCGACGGCGAGCATTTGCAAACCACGTGGATACCTGTGCCAAAGAGACCAGGCAATGTAACATGACGTATAAGAAGACAGGCACTAATTATAAAACACAATTTCATAATGGTGGCGAGAGATCGGTAATGCTTTTGATAACTGCCAGAAATGGCTTCATGTTTCAGCTAAGGAACCATTAGTATTGTTATCAGTGACAAACCGGCAGCATTCACCATTAAGACATCACCAGCAAGGCAGACACTGACGACCATTTTGATAATGATACTCTACCCAACGCTGATTACCTTTTACAGCCACACGCTACATGTGTGTGGATCATTACCGCGGTGATCCACACAGTCATCACATTCATCAAAAAAAAGTATTTCCGCCACTGTGCCTAGAGCGAAGAAATCCATTAAGTGCGTCGCAGCCATAGTCAGTTCCAATGCCGAATTTCAGGCTAGACTTACCTGTGTGAGAGTCATCTTGGTGATGATCGCCAACATGATCTTCTCGCCCTTGGTCGGGTAAGGGTTCTTCTTGTGCTCGTTCAGCCACGCCTTCAGCGTCGCTGTGGACTCCCTGGTGGCGTTCTTCCTGCGGGCGGCGAGGTCGTAGCCGGCCCCGTACCTGCAGGAAACACACATGACAAAATTAGGAAGGTTCAATATATAGAAACATTAGTTCGTTCGAAAACAGAACTAGAAAGTAGTTTGCAGTTACACACTCCCAGAGATGTCGTCCATAAGTTGCTACACATCAAAGTAGTTTAATCTATGTAATTCTTCTCAAAACATTTCCTGTCCTTGGCATTAATCAGGGAATTCAGACCAGTGACAACCGTGGAAACAACCGCGAGAACAAACAGAGGACGAAGAAAACAAAGCGCCTCCTGACTGACATGTTGGCAGAGCAGCGAGAACCGGAAATATGGTGACCAGTAATCCTATAAATAACCGGACATAACGAATTATCAGCCACTACATGATTGAACACAGTAAATAATCGGAGGCTTATTGCAGACAGACGTTCCTATAACACGACGTCACACTTCGAACAATTTGCAATAAATTCGGCGGCAAACCAGTGTTAACAAGAATTTACAAGCCAATATTCAAAGGCAAGAACAAGACCAACATCCTGCACCTAATAAGGCTATAACCTTCCCATTCTTCAGAGGGGAAAGTCGGAAAAGTGGGGTCGAAGCGCCTCCGTATTCTCTTTCAAAGTTTTAATACATTTTTTCCTCCTTTCCTGACCTTCCACTTTATCCTTTCCCCCTCCTATTCCCCCCCCTTCCCCTCCCTCCCTCACCCCCACGCAGGAGTTTTTCCCTCTTGGTGGCACAAGAGTGTACAGCATGCAGTGCCGTAGATTTTCCGTTTATGTAGCGTGAAACACCATCTGGCTGTGGTACCCCCTTTATACAGCGCCCATAACAGTCGCATCCAACTCCATTATAACCCCGACTAGTGACCGCAGCTAAGTGCCCTATACCATCTCATTTTTTGCTCTAACGTTTTCCTTCTCTTGCATTTCTTATTCTCTCTCTCTCTTTTGTTCCTTTTCTCTGTCCTCTCTCTGTCTTTCTTACCTCTTCTCTTAATTTTCTTGTCTCTTTACCTCTCTCTCTTTCCTTCCCCCGCTCTCCCTCTCTCCCTTGGTATGGATGTTTCCTCCTCCCTTTCCTCTCCTTTCTTTCTCCGTTTCTCCCTTCTTCTCCTTCCGACCCACATATGCACAAAGCCCACAACATCCTCCTCCTGTATATGATGCACAACACATCATTTATTCTTGCATAATTAATCACCCCGGAGTATCGGACGTCAGCCATCCTCTTGCCAATTAAGCACGATACACAAGCGATCCCATTTTATAGGAGATTAATTGATAGGCCTTGACGTACTGCCGTGTGCCGTACGGAGCGGGAGAGGTTTGCCTTCTTCTCTCCCTCCTATCTTCCCCTCAACCCCCCTAACTTAAGCCTCCTCCTTACCCCCTTCTCTCCTTCCCCAACACCCCTCCCCCTTCTGAATACTCCCTCCCCTCCTCCCCATCACGGCGACCTGGCCTGTTTAATATTCATATGAATTTGAAGGGTTTATCTCCCTAAGTTTCCGGGCGGACGCGTTAATTTCTCGCGGTCGGTATTATTCTACCAATTTTCCACTGGATCAATCAAGAACATTGGAACCCAAACTTCGGCGTTTACTGGTTTTCCAAAAGTCTGCCTCCTCATCTCTCTCCTCCTTTTCCTCTGTTTTGCTTCATCTCATTACCGGACCAGATGCTACGGGAATCATCGGCGCCCAATTCACTCGCTGGAAAATCTCCAAGCCTGTATTGTTTACTTGTTCCTTGATCAGCTTTTGGCGATATCAGCATCAGCTATGTAGATATAGTTAGCCACCCCGCCCGCCCTCCCGGTCTTTACTCTTTCTCTCTCTCCCTTTTCTGTCCCATTCTCTCTTTTCTCGTTCGCTCATTCACTCTATCTATCTCACCCTCATCACTCCGATCTCTCTCTCTCTCTCTCTCTCTCTCTCTCTCTCTCTCTCTCTCTCTCTCTCTCTCTCTCTCTCTCTCTCTCTCTCTCTCTCTCTCTCTCTCTCTCCTCTCTTCTCTCTTCTTTATTCCATTATCTCTCTCTCCCTCTCTGTCACTCGCTCGTAAATATAAAACCGGGAAAAATAGAATCAAGTGATGAGGACGTCTTGACTTCCCTTCGCCGGTCAGTATGGGGTCTTCATCGTCCCTCCCTCCCCTCCTCCTCCCTCCTCTCTCTTTCTCCCCCTCTTCCTCCCCGCCCTCCCCCTACCTTCGTCCATATTCCCCTTAGCCTGTCCCCTCGTCCTCAGCGTCGGCTCGTTTCCTGTGAGGTCGCACAAACGATCATTCAAGGAGACATTTATATGAGCGGAGAACGACCGCTCCATTTGGTGGGCCCCAATACTTCCTAAGGGCACTGGCTGGAAAAACCGCTGGAAAATGGAAAGCTGGCGTCCGGTGGGGCTTGGGACACTGCTGGATGGCACGGTAGGAAAAGCCACTTTTGTCCCCGGGTTGTCGTCCTCGAGTTCTTGTACGCGGATGTGGGTGTGTGGGTTCGTATCGAGGGTCCAAAATGCTGGTACAATTGGCTTAGATGGAGTGGGTGCTCAGTGAAAATTGTTGTTATTTTATGTTGTATTGTGTGTGTGTTTTGTTTCTGTTTGTGTATCAGTACGTGTTTATGTATGTGTAGGCATATTTATATGTTTCTGAGTATGAAGCACATTATCATGCTCAAATTATTTAGAGTGACACACTTTCTTCTACAAGTAGTGGTATAATTAAAACATTATTAAGCATTAAAAGCGAGTAATGTTTATAACAGATATAAGAGAATATCGAACATCCAAATATAAGTTTCAGTAGCAACATGTTTATTTTTTCAACAGTTACCGATTAATTTTCACTGCCATCTTACAATCATTCAACGCTATAAATTATTACAAACAATGACATTAGTAACGTCTCGATAATTGTAGTCTGATAATTAATTTTTAAATGAGAGCTAAGAAAAAAATCCCTCATGAAAGAAATCATGTTTCATAAAAGACGCGCGTCGTTGGAAATTCTCTCGCCGCCTCGAAAAGCAATAAAAGATAAAGCCATGCTTATGCCCCTCCTCCTGTCTCCCCCCCCCTCCCCCGACCCGTCCAGCCTCGTCTCATCCCTCACCCTCCGCGCTAACTCCATAACGTCTCGAAACTCCTAGTTTTTTTATTAACAATCTCTAAACAAAAGATATAATACCTCCGCATGTGGAGGTGGGGAGGTTCGGAGAAGTGGCGGGGAGGGAGGGCGGAGAAAGCAGTCGGGAACAGAGGGTGGGGGGGGGAGGGTGGGGAGGCAAAGCACCAGTACCTCCCTCTCTCTCTCTTCCCTCCCTCCTCCCCCTTCCACACGCGCGCACACACACACGCACACACTCATACACACGCACACAACTTCTCTCACCCCCCCCCCTTGCCCTCCCGCCTCGCCCCCTTCATATCCCGAGGAAACAAGACCATTCGTATCTGACTTGGTAATGAGGAAACTTGGCCCGAATTTTCTGAATTATCACTCGTACCGAGCAGAGTGTCACATTTAACATTATCCGAGGGCTGAGTGTCGAGGAGCTCAACATTTTTTGATGATTTGCTCTGCGCCGGATCATAGGCAGAGGCACCGGCGTTCGTATGAGGTTTGGGGACAACCTGTGTGTACGCCGACCCACAAGCCCCGAGACTACGTATTAGCGGGAGCCCAAATAGCGGGTTTCTCGAGATCCGAGGCGGGTTATCTGCAGACAGAATCGGGACGCTCTAATCTGGAAAAATGTCGAAGGCAAATGAAAGAGGGAGTGAAGCTTTAATTCATCTGTTTTCATTCATTATATATCAGCGAAGCGAAGGAAAAATGAAGGCCAAAGTTTGTAAGTAAGGAGTTTTGGTCAAAGTTTTTTAATGTCTAATCATAATTCAAGAAGGATTTTTCATTAGGAACTAAGGGAAACTTCATCAAAGATTTATAACCCAAGTTTTAATTCCTTTTGCATTAAATGTTTTTAATTCCAACTGATGCTTTTTCCATGTGACGCCGTGAAAGACAAAACTTTGAACTTTGAATTTATTTTGCGCTCAACTCTGGTAATTATGCATTATATACCCGGGTCGCTCCTTGGGGGCGTCCACACCTCTTAACTCCAGCTCAAATCTAACTTTTCCAAGATCGTGAAACTACAGCAAGATTGTCCCAAGGCTTGACTCTTGGCGCTTCAAGTCTCGGGGTTATCTCTCTTTTTTGGCGCGCCCGTTCGAAGCACATTATATACACAGTTATTTGTGGAGGATGGCTCGCCTTATTGGCTTAGCACTGTCTTGCCGCGAGGGCATCATTTCATTTTCAACTTTTGCATTCAAATGTAATGATTGTCATTCTTTATTTGCTGGACGCTTATGAATGTACAGTAAGTTCTGATCGTCGACATGTTACCTATGTTATAAAATCTATTAAAACAATTTTATTGTCACAGATATACTGTGTTATTGAAAATTAATCAAATGCCATAATAAATTTGGTATTGGGAACATTTGTATATATGAAGCCCAGGTACGTGCCTTGCTACACCAATCAACATGCAACCAGCTAAAAATTTACATAGGAGTTTCCATGAACTGAATAAATTTCTATTTTTGGCCTATCGGTTAAGGAGCGTCTTGGAAGCAAACTCCGGAAACTATAAGACATTACTGAGACATTTTTTTCATTTCACAATTATGAACATTCACTACACATTCCTGGTCTTCCCTGTGTTGTGTTTACACTTGCACACATAATTCCTATTATTTTGGCTATCGGTTACGGGAGAAAACTGTAGAACCTGTAAGACATTACTGAGGATTTTTTTTCTTCGTTTTTACTTCACAAATATGAATATTCTCACTCCACACCCCTGGTCATCCCTGTGTAATGTTTAAACTTCAAATCCGTATATAACAAACACAGTTGCTGTCTGTTTTGGCAATATATATCATTTTGATATATATTGATTTTTTTTTCATTGATTATATTTTTCACTGATACTAATTTTAATCCACCTA